GAGTGTAGGAGATATGGTCCTTCTCTACGATGCAGCGCTGGAAAGAACCTGGACCGGAAAACTCGCCAACAGATGGATGGGACTTTACAGAGTGGTTGAGACACTCGACTGGGTGCATATATGATAGCAGAATTAGACGGATCCAAGTGGAAGGACCCAGTCGCGGGTGCTAGGTTAAAGCTGTTTAGGCCCAGGCCCGCGCCCGGCGTATCGCTGACCAGCCCGAAAGGGAAAGGAAAAACCTTAATGGAGGATGGAGTCCCCTTGAGGCAATTCGAGGCAGGGGAGAGTTCCAAGAAAAGGAAAAGAATAGAGAAGAGAAAGGTCAAAGGGTTAGCTTTAGGAAGAGAGAAGAGATGGTTATTTGTGCTCAAGCGAGCTAGACGGAGAGTTCGCGTTAGATGTACTGGCGGGTCGGCACCCTTCTCGGGACAAAGACAGAAGAAAAAGAGGATCGTGCCGGGGCCAAAAACCAGAAGAAACAGGAGAGTCAAGAAGCATCTTCTTAGCCCCAAGCTCATAACAAACTGAAACATAAGACAATTGAACGCCGACGTGGGCGGGCCATCAACCTGAAGCTCGTCCGCTTCGTCTGACGTAAGTTGCTAGGGCTCGACGGGGGCGTCGAGAAGAGGTCCGGGCTAACTGTCAGGCGGCCACAAGGGATGGACCGCCTGAAAGCTGCGGCTTTGGGACCTAGGCTCAAAAACAAGTGTGTGCTTTGATGGTACTCTGGTTTCACGAGGCAGCAAAAATTAGGGGAACTCAGGGCACCCCTGATTTTGTGCTCATTGAACCTTACGAGTAACCCTCAAAGATGACAAAATGGGTAGCCGCTCCCGGCACATTTCGGAACCGTCACTTCCGCCCGTCCCGAGGCTAGACCTGAAATGGCCGGCCGCTAAGAGACATCGCGGGGACTGACCCCGCGGTAATGCCTTTTGCAGCATACGATCGGGGCCGAGTGATGCCTCAAATTTTTATCAATTTTGATGCCGAAATTAAAATGGAAGAGACGGTTAAAGATGGTGGGATGAGAGAGAAAAACAAAATATTCGTTGATTTTTATAATTTTCATGACATTTAATTTTAGTAGAAACTCCGTCGTTATTTTACGTTTCCGGGAATGAGATCAAAAACGAAGAAAAGAGATTAAACATGACAAAAAAAAAGGGAAATAAAATAATTTCAATCATTTGATTTAAAACCCCTCAGTGTTTATTTTTTGTGAAATTGCGACTATTATACTAATTCAGACAACAGAATTAGGAAGAGAGTGAAATGATTAAAACAAAGACGGAACGAACAGGAACTACTGACTATTCGATGTCTGGCCTGATTTTGTTTGGATTACCCACCGTCAGCCCGAAACCCCGAGTTGATCAAATTCTCTGAACTCTAACCCCTTTTGTTACTATCCCCTGATGATCGGGATTTTCCACGTCGTTCTCTTGATTTACCTGACTATTGACCCTCGGGGTTAGTCCGAGG